CTGTGTGAAGCTTTCTGGACGTTTCAACATGATCAATGTTGTTAAATGTAAGTATATCACTTAAATTCTAACCAGGATAAAATAATGACTCCAACTAACGTTTTATCAAAGAAGTATCAGTTGCCAAAGCAACCAAGTTATCAGTGACTTTGCAGGTGGTACCTCCAGACAATAATAATAATAATATTCCTTGCATTTGATATAGCGATTTTCACGTCTTCGAGACTTCTCAAAGAGCTTCACAGAATATACTGTAAAGTGAATTGACTGTATATTTGTGGGCAAAACGCGGCAGCCAATTGTGCACAGCAGCGTCCCACAAACAGTCGTAGATTGTAGTGACCAATTTTATTATTTTTTTCTTGAGGGATTATTATCAGGTGTGTGGAGTAAGGAAACTTGCCCAAGGTTTCGCCCTTCCGAGAATCGAACCCAAGTCTCTCGCTTGCAAGGCGAGTGCTCTAACCACTGAGCTACAGGATTCCACAATGGGTCTCAACACTGCGTGTGGGAGACAGAGTGCTTGATCCTGCATCCAAACAGACATTAAAAGAATGAAAGAGAGCAACGGGAGAAGGGAAAATTATGGCATGAGGCAGCAGCTGAGAGCAAAACCAAAAGGTCATCACAGATGAGTTCATCCTGTCCCAACCCAACATCCACAAACATGCATGTTCCAGTAAGGGTCACTGATTCCTGCCCCCTCTTACCCTGGGCTCTGAAGCCAGTTGTCCACCACCATTTCAAACTAAGATTAGGTAACTCAGTACGGACCAGAGATTAAAATCTGGGACCCACAAGACTCAACTACACACTGGGCAACCTAGTTAGGAGAGGAGCAGCCTTTTCCTTTACGTCCACCTCCAATTTTATTTTGGCCAGCATCTGGATTCTGCCACTGGAAGACTCTCTTCTCTGCTTCCTGTTTCTCCGGTTTGTGAATCACTTTCAGAAATGTAGAAAGCAGTGAGAACAAGGAGCCAAGTCCTAAAATGTTAATTCCTTTTTTTTAAAAAAGGTAACTTGGACTAAGAGCTTTTTGTACATTTTTGAATGGTCTGAAAATATGTACCTTTTCCTTTCCCCCATGAGTGCCCTCCATTGAAGGTACAAGTACAACCATAGACGTAGGTTGCAGCTGTGATTTGAGACCTGTGTGAAGGGTTTATTTAACAACCAGTTATTAATCTTGGTGCCTGAAGTCTGGCCTCCCCTCACACAACAGTCCAACGGAAATAGCTTGTTGGCAAAGTTGAAACACTTAGCAACAAGAAGGGTGTCTCGCCCCCAACACCTATAACTAAGATGTACAATCAGGCAATTTACAAACCTTTCGATCATAGATGGTTTAGTCATTTATTGAGAAATTCCATTGAACAGAATCATATTTACCCAAAACTGTGAGAGATCTAGCATGTGGCGCTGTATCCAATTGCAGCGCAGCAATAAATTCACCGTTCAGGAACCCGAGCCCCTAGATGGGAATATTTGATGTTGGAATCAGGATCTCTGTGAAGTAGAAATGTTAACTGCAGGATAGTTGCACAATGGATTAGATTTCAATGGAAACTGATCCATTCCGGGGGCTCTACTGACCAGTAACCCAGGGTCAACATCCAACTGACCTTTGTCCACTGGTCAGTTGGATGTTGCGCTTCCTGCAGCACTGTTCAAAATAATAATCCTTGAATTTGATACAGCGCATGATCACATCTTCAAGACGTCTCAAAGCACTTCACAGAATATATTGTAAAGTGAATTGACTGTGTATTTTGTGGGAAAAACACGGCAGTCAATTGCGCACAGCAGTGTCCCACAAACAGTCGAGGATTGAGTGACCAAATTATTATTATTTATTTATTTTTGGAGGGATTATCACACTCGGAAAAGCGATCCGCCAGTCAACTAACAATCGGATTCCTACTTACTGCCAAAGGAAACTTGCCAAACATTTTGCCCTGTCGGGAATAGTAATTATAATAATAATAACAATATTAATAATATATATTAATAATAAAATAATAATAAAAATACTAGTAAGAATAGTAATAATAACCCCCCTTCCCCTCCCCTCCCCTCTCCCCCCCCTGACCCCAGCTCGGGTCTGAAATGCTGTACTCTGTCCAGCGCCTTGGGGTGTCCTCCTGACGTGAAAAGCGCTACAGAAATGTAATCTTGTCGTTGTTGTTGTTGTAGTACCTGGGTCCTCTTGCTTGCGAGGTGAGCTCTCAAACTTCTGGGCTACAGGACTCCTTATCTGAAGGATTGTTGGCCATGACATCAGGGGAGAAACTTCCTTTAACTATCAATTATGTAACTACCGGTCAGGACATTTTATGAGCAGGAAATGTTAATGGACCTCCCAAAACCAGGCACTGAACCATCGTTCTGAAAATCATAGAATCATAGAATTATACAGCACAGAAGGAGGCCATTCGGTCCATCGTGCCTATGCCAGCTCTTGAAAGATTAATCCCACTTCCCCACTCTCTCCCCATAGCCTTGTAAATTTGTCCTCCCCAAATATCTATCCACTTCTCTCTTGAAAGTGGTTTGATGGACTGATGGAATGTTCCTACAAGCTCACATCACAGACAAGAAGTACCGCAAAATCAATCTCTCTATCTTTTGTCACAAGTTTTCCTTTGATCAGGGTGAAGTGTCCGTGCTGAGAAACATATTGCCAGTCAGGGGGCAGCATTTCAGAGTAAAACTCTATACTCTTCAACAGATCCCAGAAGATTGCCAAATTCTGCATCTTCCAATACCCCACACCAGGTATTAATGGGGCTGACATGTTATTAGCCTGTTTTACGCTGTGGAGCCTTGTTCAAAAGATGTTGGGTTGATAGTATCCAAACGCTTGGAGAGAGAGAGAGATGAGAGAGGACATTTTCAGGCGAGGGCTCAGCTCTGGGCTGGTTCCGATACATATTCTTGAGATGAAAAGGTAACGTTCTTCTTAGCTGTACCACCCAATCCATTTTGATCTGTGCAGCTTTTCAGATGCAATCACAGTGCTACATTGCCCTCAGATGCTCAGTGAAAACATACCTAAAAAGTTAGAAAACTTTCAGCACAGAAGCAGGCCCCTCGACCTATCGTGCCAGTGCTGTTATTTTTGTCTGTTGGTGGGTCATTGATGTGCATAAATTGGTGCTGCATTTGCTTACAAATATACAGTTGTTACACTTTACAGTAAATCCCGTGAACCTGTTTGACATATTGATGATGTGGTAAGGCGCTATACCAAATGGAAGGATATAATCACACTTTCCAGCTCTTTGCTTATACCATTTCGAGGTTCTAACTTTCCAGTTGCTTAGCCAGTTCCCACTGAACGATTCTATTGATTCAGCATCAAAAGGGACTCATAATAAATTTCACATTCTCATAAAATTCTTTGATGAAATGACTCTAATGTCTCTCCCGATAGCCTGAGACTAAGTCTCATTAGTTCCCCAACTAAAGGAAATCGTTTTTCCATTTAACCCATCTGGCCTTTTCACAATTATAAAAGCTTCTATCATACCCCCTTCGCCTCTCCTGTAAATGAAGCCAGCCTCTCTTCATACAAACAGTAAACTCCTGATAACTCATCACTCCAGGGGAAAGGCAGTTGTGGTAAGTTAGGCATCTGTATAAATACTGTAAATACAGCCAGGATATTGACAACATGGTGAATTAAGTGGTAGTGATAAGTTAAGTCAGGGCCGAGTTACTAGGAATTTACTGTATATTGTTTCCCACCTTGTATCTTCCTTGTGAAACCTCATTGCATCTTCCTCATCTCTTAAAGCACCCAGTAATCTGAGGCAGAAAACTCAGCACAATACTGCTCTTAAGTTCCCCACGTTGTATTATTGCACTGTGACAATTAACTTCAGACTCAATCTACTGATACAATATGAAAAAAAATGTAGATTTATTTCTAGCTTTCAATCAAATAACCAGTGTGGCTACTAAATCCACAGATGTGTAATGGGCGGCCACTAAAGCCAATTTGTCAGATAACCTTTGTGATTTGCAGGGTGGGTGTCATGGTCAGGCTCAGTAGTTCGTAGTCACAGACACTGCAAGATCCTGATTCGGACATTCAACGGGAATTTTGCAATAATTGAGCCCCAAAACAATTAATTCCTGACAATTATTTGCAAAGAATTGTTATTCCCCTGAATAAAATTGTTCACTCACTCCACCTCTGTTTGTGGGATATTGCTGTGCGTACCCGGCTTCCACATTCGCCCACAAAATACTCAGTCACTCCACTTCACATTGCATCCTGTGAGGCACTTCGGCGAAGCAATAAGCTGTAATCCAATGCAAAGGTTAATGTGGAGTCCTGTAGCTCAGTGGTTAGAGCACTCGCTTTGCAAGTGAGAGACCTGAGTTCAATTCCAGGCAGAGGGCGAAACCTTGGGCAAGTTTCCTTACTCCACACAGAGCCTAATAATAATCCCTCCCAAACCAAAAACAATAATAAATTGGTCATTTTCAATCTACGACTGTTTGTGGGACATTGCTGTGCGCAATTGGCTGCCGCGTTCGCCCACAAATATACAGTCAATTCACTTTACAGTGTGTTCTGTGAAGCGCTTTGGGACGTCCTCCCGACGTGAAAAGCGCTATATCAAATGCAAGGAATATTATTATCATTGTTATTTAATATTATTATACGATTTCAAAACGAGCCAGCACCATCCTCAAACCAGATGTGAACTGTAACTGCTATTCTATGGCTGGTGCTTTTACAGTCGAAAGCCTGGCTGAAGAGTTTTTGTTTTTTTGTAAAAAAAAAAGACCCATTATGACTTTTTTTTTCCACAGAATTTTTTTTTGCTGCAAAACTTTCTGTGTGTTAATCGCTGTGACCTGATGCTGTGGGTTTGGAGGGCTAATTGCATTCCTACACGCCCTCATGATGGTGTCATTGCCATTCGGGACCCTGTGAATTACAGTAGTTCACAGCTACTGTCTGGAGAAGTTGGGCTGATCCAGTGGTGGGGAGATCCAGGGGTAGGAATAACCATCGCAGAGCCTCAGCTGATGTTATTGCAGTAATAGGGAACTCAAGTCTAACAGAGAGGAGTCTCCTATCCTTTTTCTCTCTGGGAAGATTAATCACCATTCAATTCCATCTCTTTTTTTTTTAACCCCTTAAACTGACTCCTTCTCACCTGCCCTCTGAGTCCTGGACAAGCCATTTGGGATTATTGCAACGATTTTTGGGGGAATTTGCATTAGATTCCAAAAGGTAGGATTTTCAGACTTTGCAACTCGTAACACACGACTTGTGACAGCAACTTTCCTTGAAACGGTCCCTGCGGCTCGGATTCCTCCTCTCCTCTTTGCGTTGTTGTGTGTGTGTGTGTGTGTGTGTGTGTGTTGGTCTCTGAAAACTTTTTTTCCAGCAGAAAAGTTTGGAAGAGTTTAAGGTGTGGGATTGCCTTGGTGGGGCAGGGGGTGGGTGGGTGGGGAGTGATCCCTGTCCATTTTAGCTGTGTTTGTTTGTGACTGTTGGGGAGTAGTTAGTGTGGATTAGTTTAAGGTGAGGTGTGTAAAACAGAGACATCTGAGCTCAGAGAGTGTGTAACAAATGCTCATGCAAATAAATACCTGGGAATCAATTGCTGACACGATGGAAAGTTGGGAAATCATTGCAGAACTAATATATTGTACTGCAATGTATTGCCAAGATGCAGAGCAGCATTGCAAGGGTCTGACTTCATCACATCATTTGCTTTTTTTGGGGGTGTGGGGGGTTGGGGGGGGGGGGTGGGGGGGGAAATTACTTCTTTTTTAATACAGAACAGATTGTGATTTAATACAGTACCTTTTTTTTTCAAAAAGTTTTCCATTTAAAGCGTGGAGGTTCTTAAAGGTATATAAAAAAAATCTCTCCCCCTGATTTAGGAGTTTTTTATATATATATATATACACAGAGATGGGTTTTGGAACAGAAGAAAACAGAAGAAATTAGGTCATGTGATGGTATCTACATTTTTTTTCCAGCTCCCCCCCCTCCTCCCTCGGGATATTAAGGCCAGAACACTGCTGTCTGGTATTTATTAGGCTGTAATTCAATTGAGAAATGACGACAGAAAGTGGTGGAGTAAAGCTCTCAACTCAACCCTGACTTGGGATGATTCCCTCAAAGGGGACATGGCCCTGCGCTCCTGGGGAGGTGTGATGGTCAGGTAATGATCAGCTCTGCACAGGGTGTGATCACCCCTACGCATGTTCCTGGCCAACAATCCCCCAAATAAAAGAAAAATCATTTTATTTTGCGGCTGATCATTCATTTCGTGGCTGTTTGTGGGGCAGTGCTGTGCACAATTGTACTGCCGTGCTTGCCTACAAATACACAGTCACTTCATTTCACAGTAAATCCCGTGCAGCGCTTTGAGACATCCTTCCGACATGATAAGGCGCTATGCAAGGATTGTTATTTCTTACAGGTAGCAGTGCCTGAGCACTGTGTTCTATGGATCCTGTACCGTGTTGCGTTTCCTCTCTGCTTTACACGTGTTTAGATCAACGGCACAATCAGCGCTGAACATGTCATCACAGCAGGAACATGTCTTCCGTGTCTGTAATAAAATGGCACGTAGATTCTCTGGCTGATGTTGATATTTTTACAGTCATGCCTCAATGAGACAAACACTCCACTGAGCATGTTGGTGCAACAAAGCAGATCGCTTTTCCAGGGGTAATAATTCCTTCAAAAAAAAATAATAAATTGGTCACTCAATCTACCACTGTTTGTGGGACGCTGCTGTGTGCAATTTGCTGCCGCATTTTGTCCACAAAATATACAGTCAATTCACTTTACAGTATATTCCGTGAAGCGCTTTGAGACGTCTCGAAGACGTGATAAGATGCTATATCAAAAGCAAGGATTATTATATAGCCATTTTTATATATTCACATCAGGAGGGCATCTGAAAGTGCTGCTCAGAATTTAACGTAAAGTGTAGTTACTGCATAGTTTTGTAGGCAAACTAATGCGCACATCAAAGCCTCACAAATTCCATGAATGAATAACAAATTTTATCTCGAAGATTGTTGGCCAGAACAGCATAAGAAATTTGATTCTCTTTTGGGATAGTTCTATGGGATCTTTAGCGTCCATCTCAACAGGCAGGTGGGTTTAATGTCTCATCCGAAAAATGGCACCTACCAATCATGGTGCGCTCTCCCAGTACTGGAGTGTCAACAGAGACTGATATCAAAGTCCCTAGATGGGATGTGAACCCACAACCTTCGAGAGTTAGCAGCGAGAGTGACTCAGTGATGTTTAAAATGGTCTTGGAACCCTTTAGGAAAAGTGCGATCATTCCAATAGATTTACACAGCTGTCCTTAGGATTAGAAGGAATATTATTTTTATGATACTTAACTCTAGACCACAAGGGCTTCATAGGTTAGGCTGTTTACATGCTTTCATAACATCAAGGCTTGACTATGCAAACTCCTTGCTTGTCGGCCTCTCCCACCTCCTCCCTACATAGGCTGCAGATCACCCAGAACGCTGCAGCCTGCATCTTCTCCCGCACCTGGCTCCGTAACCCTATCACCCCCATCCTCACCTGACTCCACTGGGTTCCCATCATACCTCTGCGACTTCCTAACCCTCTACCATCCTGCTCACTCCCTCTTTTGGTGGGCGAGCCTTCTGCCACTCAGCCCTCACCCTCTGGAACTCCATCCCGTAGTCCCTCTACCTCAGCCCCTCCCTTTCCTTCTTCAAGACCCATCTCAAGACCCTCCTTTTCGACCATACTTTCGATCTCCATGCTTGTCCCCCTGACCCCCACGCTCCCTGACCCCAGCTCGGGTCCGAAACTCTGTCTGTCCAGTACCTTGGGTCGTCCTCCTGATGTGAAAGGCGCTATACAAATGTAATTTTGTTGTTGTATTCTTGTGCTTGTGCCCTGACATACCTGAACGTATTGTTCTGGCTTCACTGAATCTGTCCCAAAAGTAGTGGACACAAAACTGGTGTAATTTCTCCCCTCTAGGAGCAGTGGCCTCGGTTGAGCAGAGCATGACATTTTCATTGCACGAGAACGAAAATATCAGAATTAGACTTTCAGATTTAAAACAGCTAATTACTGAGCCGAGTTACATTTATCAATGTAAAAAATATCACAACAAAATCCACCATCTGGTCCTTGCTGAGCTGTTTGTTCATGCTACGGATTGTGTGTATGATACACAGCGTGTAACACAAAGACCAACAGCGATTCATATTTTGAAACCAATTCTGTTTTATACTTGAGACATGTAATCGGGATGAATATTGATCAGTTCATCTAGAAGGTGCGCTCGTCGAGACTGTGACGAATATGTTTAGTGTCCCAAACGTAATAAAATATTGTGCAGTCTTATTAATACGTGCGTAGGCTGAAGTAAGTGCAGTAAATGGAAGCCATCTGCTCCCAAAGAAAATCCATTAACAATTGGGCCGATGTATTATCCAGATAAAAGGAATAAGACTCTGGAGAAACCTTATCGTTTGTTGGTCATATCACAATTGAACTTCGTAGAAAATTCTCAAAATCATCAAAAGTTTGTAAATATACTTTACTTTGCACACTTCAGATGCTTTTTGCTTTCTCATGGAGCTGAGCTGGGGCTGAATTGTCTCTTGGTACAACCTCTTTTATCTGTTCAAACATGTCAAATAAACAGCAGTGAATTTTACAAGGTTTCTGGTGTTAACTGTTGGACTGCTGGGCTAACTGGATTCCTACGGTTTCAGTTTATTTGAAACCCTTTCCATTAGTAAAATTAAGGGGCAGAGGCAGAGAGGTAGGTTTGGGCATGTTCAGCAAAGGGTGGAATGTTAGTTCATGTCTGTGTGTCATCACAGGGAAGTTTATTGTATGAGGAAAAGAAGGAATCAGGATAGTGGTTTGAGGTGCACCACAGCGTGAGAAACAAAACCATTGAAGGAAATGCAGTGCACGCGATGGGATAGGATGGATCAGCACCAGGAAAGTTGGTTCAACTCGAAACACACTCCTCGCTGGTCTCCCCAGCTCCAACTATTCAAAAAATCTAGCTCATTCAGAACTCTGCTGCCCACATACTGACCCAGACCAAACTCGGTACCCACATCTCACCAGTTCTGGCCCAGGCTCCACTGGCTCCCCATCACCCAACGGATCGACTTCAAGATCTTCACTCTTGTGTTCAAATCCCTTCACTCCCTACCTCTCTGACCACCTCACTCCTTTTGCATACAGGTGAGACAGAAACACAACTGGAAGGCTTGATGTGAACCAGCAGTGGAGGTGAAGGTCAATATCAGTGGCTAGAGGGGTGAAATCAGAGTATGGGTTAAAGGGAATTATATATTGTATGTATTGCTGAGATATCTGAGAAGACTTTACGGCAATACTAACAAGTTAAAGAATACATTTGTAGATATTCCTAAATGCATTCCTGCCTTAATTAGAATAAGAAAGACGTTAAGCAGCACAACTCATGTTAGTTCTATATTTCAAAGCTTCCCCCCCACCCATGTTTTCTTTGAATGTTACTTTGATTCTCCTCAGTATTTTACCTTTGCATCATCCTCAAACTAAGATTCATATTTAGGGCTATATCTAATAATAAGAATACTTGCATTTGATATAGCACTTATAACGTCTTCGAGACATTTCAAAGGGCTTCACAGAATATACAGTAAAGTGAAATGACTGTGTATTTTGTGGGCGAAATCTACTACTACACCTCTACTCATGATTTCAGATCATTTGGTATTGTCTATTTGTCTGTCAGATACCAAGGCCTGGATGAGCCTCAAGTTTTTTGCATCTTAACATGGACAAAATGGAAGCTATCTTCCTTGACTTCTGCGAGTGTCTCTTCACTTTCAGCTCTGACCCCCTCAATCTCCCTCTCCCATTTCTTAAACCAGTGTGCAACCTCAGCGTTCAGTACAAACCTGACTTCTTCCTTCCTTACAATCAGCTTCTCTTCACCTCCCTCACTTTGTCCATCTATGCCTCTCTCACTGACGCCCTCATTCACACCTTTTTACCGTTCAACTTGGCCTTTTTGATGCACTCCTCATCGATCTCCCTAGTTTCAGTATCCATTAGCTGCATTCGATGATCATGAGCAGCTCTTTGTTCTTTTGCCCCTTTTAAAACTTGGTGGCAGTCAAATGAATTGTACTTCTCTTCCTATTACACAAATCCTGTGAAGCCCTTTGAAACATCTCGAAGATGTGATAAGGCACTGT